CACACACACACACACACACACACACACACACACACACACACACACACACACCTCTTGTCAACCTTAATCGTTTTTTTCGTTTTTTTTCTTTCCAGTGTCTTATATTTTACCTCATTACATATCTCCTAGACTTTCTTTTGTGTGTGTGTGTCTTCTTTCATTCTTTCTTTCTTTCTTTGTTTTCTTTCACTTGTCGGCGTCCTTGTGTCTCTCATTCTCTTTATCTTGTTTACAGTAAAATCTTTTCTTTCTTTTTTTCTTTATATTTTCTTCTTAAAAGCTCTTCTCTGTTGGTCGTCATATTCTTTCAGTTTATCAATGTTTCTCTATATATATTTTTCGCTCCTGTTCCTTTCACCCATCCTCCTTTGCTCCTCCTCTTCCTCAGTCCATTATCTCTCCCTCTTCCTTCCTCTATTCCCATCTCTCGCCTCCTTCTTCCTTCCTCTTCCTCTCCCTCTCCTTCGCACTTTTGCTACAGTTCTTTTCCATTTCCCTTCACCTTCCTATTTTTTTTTCTCTCTCTCTCTCTCTCTCTCTCTCTCTCTCTCTCTCTCTCTCTCTCTCTCTCTCTCTCTCTCTCTCTCTCTCCTTCGCCCTTCTTCTCTTTCTCTTTCCTATTCCCTCCTCCTTAATATCTTCCTTCCTTCACCCTCCCTCCTTAATCTCCTTCTCTCCCTCCCTCCCCTCCGACCATCACAGGCTCATCAAGGCCCGGTTAACCAGCAATTTCATGGCAATTAGAGTTATAAAACAATGCAATTATCCGTTCACTCATCCATTAAAAGCTAGCTGATGATGGAGCTTTATAAAGGGGGGGTTTACCTTGTGTGTGTGTGTGCTTGTGTGTGTGTGTGTGTGTGTGTGTGTAAGTGGGACATAATTGTATTCGCTCAAACAAAACATTTTTCCTCATTTATTTTCACGGGTTAAAAGGCTTCTTTCCTTGACTGAGACCTCAGCCTAAACATTCCATAAATGAATATTTTTCTTATCATCTACTAATATTTACGGTTGTTTCTTATCGTGGGAGTTAAGGACGTCTTCGTGTAGTGTAGGGATTGAGGTGTAGTGACAGGTGCCTTCTGGACACTAATCACGCTAAGAGAATAAAAATCAACCCAGAAAATGTACAGATTTTTTTGGTTGCATCAGCACTCGCCGGCAACGTGGAGTGTGCAGGGAATGTGTCATAAAGCAGGAGACTCCCCAGGCCTGGATTAGCGTCAAATATGGGGTCAGTAAAGCTAGGCTGAGGCGGTCTGTAGTGGTGAGTCACTCTGAGTTACTGTGTTATGAAGAGTTGGACAGTATAAATGTTCTGACAAGACGACACTGAGGTTGACTGCTGAGGTGAGTGAGGTGACAGTGAGGTAACAATGCTGAAGTGAGTGAGATAACAGTGCTGATGTAGGTGAGAGATATGGTGAGGTAACAGTTAGGTGACAGTGCTGATGTGGTGAGGAGTAACAGTTAGGTGACAGTGCTGAAGTGGAGTGAGATAACAGTGAGGGAACAGTTAGGTGACAGTGCTGAAGTGAGTGAGATAACAGTGAGGTGACAGTTAGGTGACAGTGCTGATGTGAGGTGAGATAACAGTTAGGTGACAGTGCTGAAGTGAGAGTGAGATAACAGTGAGGTAACAGTGCTGAAGTGGTGAGAAACAGTGCTGAAGTGGAGTGAGATAACAGTGAAGTAACAGTGCTGAAGTGAGTGAGATAACAGTGAAGGTAACAGTTAGGTGACAGTGCTGAAGTGAGTGAGATAACATGTGAGGTAACAGTTAGGTGACAGTGCTGAAGTGAGTGAGATAACAGTGAGTGCAGTGCTGAAGTGAGTGAGATAACAGTGAGGTAACAGTTGGTGACAGTGGAAGTGAGTGAGATAACAGTGAGGTAACAGTGCTGAAGTGGGTGAGATAACAGTGGGTAACAGTGCTGAAGTGAGTGGATAACAGTAATGTAGTGCTAAAGTGAGTGAGATAACAGTGAGGTAACAGTGCTGGAAGTGGTGAAGGTAACAGTGCTGGAAGTGAGTGAGATAACAGTGCTGAAGTGGTGAGATAACAGTGCTGAAGTGAGTGAGATAACAGAGTGAGTAACAGTGCTGAATTGAGTGAGATAACAGTGAGGTAACAGTTAGGTGACAGTGCTGAAGTGAGTGAGATAACAGTGAGGTAACAGTGCTGAAGTGAGTGAGATAACAGTGAGGTAACAGTGCTGAAGTGAGTGAGATAACAGTGAGGTAACAGTGCTGAAGTGAGTGAGGATAACAGTGAGGTAACAGTGCTGAAGTGGAGTGAGATAACGGTGCTGAAGTGAGTGAGGTAACAGTGCTGAAGTGGGTGGAGATAACAGTGCTGAAGTGAGTGAGATAACAGTTGCTGAAGTGAGTGAGATAACAGTGCTGAAGTGAGTGAGATAACAGTGAGATAACAGTGCTGAAGTGAGTGAGATAACAGTGAGGTAACAGTGCTGAAGTGAGTGAGATAACAGTAATGTAACAGTGCAGAAGTGAGTGAGATAACAGTTGGTGACAGTGCTGAAGTGAGTGAGATAACAGTGAGGTAACAGTGCTGAAGTGAGTGAGGTAACAGTGCTGTAACAGTGCTGAAGTGAGTGAGATAACAGTGAGGTAACAGTGCTGAAGTGAGTGAGGTAACAGTGCTGTAACAGTGCTGAAGTGAGTGAGATAACAGTGAGGTAACAGTGCTGAAGTGAGTGAGGTAACAGTGCTGTAACAGTGCTGAAGTGAGTGAGATAACAGTGAGGTAACAGTGCTGAAGTGAGTGAGGTGAGCAGTGCTGAAGTGGGTGAGATAACAGTGAGGGTGACGATTAGCAGAGTGGTGAGATAAGCAGTGCTGATGGGTGAGATAACAGTGAAGATAGCGCAGTGCAGTGAGTGAGATAACGGTACTGCTGGAAGTGGGTGAGATAACAATTGAGGTAACAGTGCTGAAGTGGTGAAGTCGCGTGCTGAAGTGGTGAGATAACAGTGAGGTAACAGTGCTGATGTGAGTGAGATAACAGTGAGGTAACAGTGCTGAAGTGAGTGAGATAACAGTGAGATAACAGTGCTGAAGTGAGTGAGATAACAGTGAGGTAACAGTGCTGAAGTGAGTGAGATAACAGTGAGGTGACAGTGCTGATGTGAGTGAGATAACAGTGAGGTAACAGTGCTGAAGTGATTGAGATAACAGTGGGGTAACAGTGCTGAAGTGAGTGAGGTAACAGTTAGGTGACAGTGCTGAAGTGAGTGAGATAACAGTGAGGTGACAGTGCTGATGTGAGTGAGATAACAGTGAGGTAACAGTTAGGTGACAGTGCTGAAGTGAGTGAGATAACAGTGAGGTGACAGTGCTGAAGTGAGTGAGATAACAGTAATGTAACAGTGCTGAAGTGAGATAACAGTGAGGTAACAGTGCTGAAGTGATTGAGATAACAGTGGGGTAACAGTGCTGAAGTGAGTGAGGTAACAGTGCTGAAGTGAGTGCGATAACAGTGAGGTAACAGTGCTGAAGTGAGTGAGGCAACAGTGAGATAACAGTGAGGTAACGCTGCATCCAAGTGGTTTCATATATGGTGGCAATGTGACCTGTTTTTATGTACTGGGAGGTTCATCAGATAATGGCAACACAAATATCACCTCACTTTAACAAACCGTCTTCAGTTTTGTTATGATAGCAAACATTTAAAACAAATATAACAAATTAAACCATACGTCAAGTCATAGACAAATACGGCAATTACGTTTTAAGGCTTAATCAGACGGTTATCCGTATCTAGTGTGATTATACAGTATATATACACTGACATGTAAATAATGTGTCGGGCCATTACACAAATTAAAATTATTGCCTCATAAATACGGTAGCATGGGTGGGTGGCAGTGGTGGAGGTGTGTGTCTGAGGTGGGTGGCTGGGTGTAAAGGGATGGGGGCGCGAGTGTGTTGAATGACCGGGAGTGAATCATGGTCGTGTGTGTGCGCCTTCTGGTGCCGCCCCCGGGTCATCCGTCCACCCACACATTATATTATTATTATTATTATTATTATTATTATTATTATTATTATTATTATTATTATTATTCATCATCATATCATCATCATCATCATCATCACATCATCATCATCATCATTACTCCCTCACCACTCTCTTACCTTTCTCCTATACTGTATTGGTGTTATATAGTGCTCATACATACATACACCCACTCGTATGTACACTATAAAAGTCACATATTGCAGTAATTATCTCCAAGAGTGTTTGATAAAAATAACAATATATTATAAGAAATCCCTCCCCTCCCCTCTCCTCCTCCATCCCTCACTTCTCCCCCTCCTCCTCCACCTCACTCCACCCTCCTCCCATCTCACCTCCCCTCCTCCATCCTCACTCCCCCTCACTCTCCCCATCCTCCCCCATCCGTCACTTCCCAGAGCCAGACTGACGTAAAGTTTGGAAGTTGTGTGTTATAAAATCTTTAGACTGAAGGTGACCTGATTGTCTGGAGAATTAAGACCAATTTTGTGTGTAATATTTTTCCCCTATTAGTGTTACCTTGCTCAAGACTGTGGCCTTAGTCTGATACCAAAATACCAAGACTGTTGACCTGTTGCGTGGTGTCGTGTTACTGGCTTAAGTATTCATACGTCGTCTGTATTGTGTATATGGTTGGCAATATTCGCCTGGTGATATTTTTTTTGGGGGGGGGGGACTGTTTATATATTTGAGATTTCTCTTTGTTTATCATTTATGCTGATCAAAACGAAACTGAATATCTTTAAAATAATGTGATTCTGAGTGTGTGAGTTTGGGTAATTTTTGTTGAGTTCAGATATAAGATTAATTGTTATTCTGTGTATATTTCAGTAACACCTTATTAGAACTGATAACAATAATGGACTCTAATAAAACACAATATTCTAGTGTATTGTATGTATGTGTGTTGGTCTGTTGATGCGTTATTAACCTGTTCTTGATGTTGTTACTTGACAAGAACGGACCAATCGCTTCCGTGGCAGTGTGTACGGTGAGTCTCGTGTTGCTGCACTGTACTGTAACACACTTTCTCCTCCTTATATTTACCTTTGTAACTTTGCTCCACCCACTTTTGGTTTCCTTAGCAACCATTATATTCCTTAGACGTTGATTGGCTCCTGGTTGCTAAGGTAAGTAGCTGCTTGTTGCTAAGATAACTGGTAACAAGACTCACGTAGCAACAATAACCAAACAGCATCTAAGAATTGTGTTGGTTGCTAGGGTAGCCAAGAGAGATAGGGGCTTAACGTATAGAAGTAGTGACCGCTGGGCTCCCTGTGCCCTCCCCAAGCTTCTCGTTTGTTTACAATTGGTTCAGCTCACTTGGTTGATCCTGAGTATTTTTTATGTAGTAGATGAGTATTGGGTTATTATCTTCTAAATGGTGATTGAAGTGGAGGGTCTTGTAGGTATCTGTCTCCCATTGGCCTTAACCTAACCTAACCGTATCTTACCTTAACCTTACCTTGCTTTACCTAGACAATCCTGATCTTACCTTGCCTTTCATTACCTTACCTAAGTATTAATATGAGGGTTCAGTCCTAATGAGTATCAATCCTAATTTGGTTAGGTTATGTCAGGTCAGGACAGGGTAGGTTAAGTTTGGTTGGGTTAGGTTAGGTTAGGTTAGGGCCCATTTTCACCATTTTAAGTTATATCTAAAAGAATGTAATTATTTTGTCAATTGTAATGTCAACAAACAAGTAAGCGGGAAAATATAGGCCATAAATAACATATTTTCCAAAGACTATACCTCTCCCTGATGGAATATTGGAATCTATTGAAATAACCTCCCTCGCTCCCTCCCGGGTCTATGAAAAAAAACGGACAAAAACCCCTCCGGACATAAACCCGACCCCAACCGGACAAAACCCCACCCCTACCGGACAAAACCCCACCCCCACCGGACAAAACCCACAACGGACAAAATCCCCTCATAGTAAAAATAAAACAAAATCTATTTTCTGTTTATAATACCGAACATTATGAAATGTAATTTATATGATAAATAATGAATTAAAACTATATCAGCAACATTCACCTCATGTTAAAAAATAAGACAAAATCTAATTGGAGTTTTTATTAATTTCTTGCAAATCCACTTTGACAATATCTCTTACTAAGACGATGTGTGGACCAAATGAAGTGTAGGCTATACCGGACTATAGTCATATCATAAGCCTATATTATGCCCAATGCCTCTGAGCATTTCCTCCAATGTCTTGCGGCCATCTCTAAAATCAACACATAGATTTCCCGAGTCGTTTTTTATAAGGTCTTTGGTTTCCCGTCTCACGTTTATGAAGTGGTTGACCTCTCGCGCCAAGTGTAAGAGTCAAGGACACAATGGCTGCGTCTTTCCTGATGAACTCAATAGCAGTCCAAATTGTAGGGTGAGAGTAGCCCACCAGCTGTTGGAATCCACGATTCCAACTCTCACAGAGGTTGTTGGTGCGGTATTCGTTGTCAATAGTAGCGAGGTTTACATTCCATTTCTCTGGTGGGAATAATGGAGGAATCCTCCGCACTCGCATTGTCACAGGAACTGGATATTGTCTGGTCTGGCCAATGCGGCGGTATGTGCCGGTGACGTAGTTCTCATCAAAGTGATCAACAAGGTCTTCAAGTCATCAGGAGTATTGTCTATTATGTCGTCCATTCCATCAGAAACACGACCAACAGGAAGACTGGCAAGTCCATCTAGCATGCCACAGAAATGCTTGAAATCGTCATCTTCTTTGTATCGGTTATTCAGTCCAAGACTCTGTATTTTTCGCCAGGTACTGTACTTCGTGTCACGTGGTAGAAACACGCCTTGGCATTAACATGTGGACCCAGCATATTGTTGATGGCATTCAGGGCTGCTTGTTCGAAGTCTGTGATTGTTGTTGTGACATCCATGTAAAATCCAAGTTCCTCTCCCTTGTCATGAACTGCTGTCAACATTTCTTCATATATCTCTTGGGATTTACGAGACAGGAAGGCATAAACACAGCTCAGTGCAGATTCTCCTAGAGGGGCACGGATGATGTATAGTTGTTCAAATAGAAATGGTGCACAGGTAAAAGTCCCATCCATATACCACGTGTCGGAACCTGCCAGATGGCATAGACCTTCCTCGGTGGCAAACATGATGAGACGGTACCTTGCTTCTATCCCACTGTCATGAATTAGGGAAGGGTGTGAGTCTGATCCACCTGTCATTGTCCACTCGCCTTCAATTCTCAACTCTTAAAGAGATGATGGATCTTTGGGACGGCCTGCCTGTCGATGTCTACGGATAGTTCTCTTAATGGAATCCATCTGACCAGTGCAGCTCGCCCCTCTTGAGTCATCTCTGCCATACTGTCCAGTAGGATCTGTCCAGTGTTCCCCCTGTTGGCAACTGCACCTTCTTTTAGAGTCTGTCGGGCTTTTGTTGCCTCCATTGCAAGTGTATCTGGTGTGTGGTTGTGGTCTATGGTGGAAATTATATTTTGGACATCCAGATCTGTTGTAAGGTTGCCGTTGCAGGAGAGAGCCGGAACATTCCCAGCGTTTGGTTGAAGAAGACGTAGACTCCCGTGTGTCTATATAGCCACGATAACAGAGTTTTTCTCCACCGTTATTGCTGCACAATTTCACTAATAACTATAACAATGTAAATCACAAAGTAATTCACAATACACTCGTGATTAAAATATTTAATGAAACTTGTAAGAAAAATAAAAAAGAGCTATCTAGCTTCCAATTGTATTAAAACACTGCTTAAGGAAAACCGAATTAGTGCACAAGTGAACAAGGTTTTTATACAGTTCGCCTCATGGTCCCACACGTCATTACAGAGACCAGAGATGTGAGGTCACGGGTCCCCCTGAGGTCACATAAGGTGAGGACAGTAATGATATTTGTAAGAAATTTTTAAAAAACTTTAAATAAGTTTGTTTTATTTTCTACCATGAGTTAAATATTGAGGCTTAAATAGAGTTGTAATTTTTTTCTTTACCATTTAACTTACACTTCATAATGTTCCATACACACATTTTAAATAAATTTTGTTTTATTTTTTGCTATGAGGCGATTTTGTCCGGTGGGGTGTTTCTCCGTATCCCCTCCCTCCCTCCCTCGTCCCTTCCTCCCTCCTTTGCAACCTTCTCTCCCTTGTTCCCTCGCAACATTCCCTCCCTCCTCCTCCCTCCTTCCCCCCTCCCCCCTCCCTCTACGAGCAACAACATGCAACATGAGTAATATTTGATGTTTAATATTTTTGTTGATATGTTGCAGATTACCTTGGGCGACGTACAGTGAGATTTAGCAAAGGTTGGTAGCATTGTTGGTCTTCCTTCATGTACGAGTGTTTACGGTTGGTAGCCTTGGCAAGTTACTCTCTTTTGCACACCGGTTGGTAGCCCTGTTAGTTTCCTTTATTTGTTTTTAATGTTGATTGGTAGTCCTGCTAGTTTTCTCCTTGTTGACATGGTTGGTAACCCTGTGAGTCTCTCTCTCTCTCTCTCTCTCTCTGTTTACCAGCAAGACGGCCAATGTTAGACAAATGGCAGATGAAATTCAACGTGGACAAATGTAAAGTACTCAGTATAGGAGATGTAAACAGGGAAACCAGATACCAGATGAACAACGATGCCATAGAGAAATCCGACTGCGAGAGAGATTTAGGAGTAATGATAAGTAGGAACCTTAAGCCAAGTAAACAATGTGTTTTTGCTCGTAACAAGGCTAATAAAGTACTTGGGTTCATACAAAGGAGTGTTAGTTACAAGACTAGCGAGGTCATCCTAAAACTGTATCTTGCTCTTGTGAGACCACACCTGGATTACGCAGTTCAGTTCTGGTCACCGTATTACAGAATGGATATAGAATCCTTGGAAAGAATTCAGAGGAGAATGACAAGACTAATCCCGGGCATTAGGAACCTTGAGTATAGAGACAGGTTAAATTTGCATCTGATAGAGGTGTATAAGTGGAAAGGGCTTTGCACTATCCAACCAGGAGCGAACTCGTAACAATGGTTTTGAGAGATTTAGGCGAAATAGGTAAACAGCAGAGTAGTGGATGAATGGCAAGTTACCAAATATCATCATTAACTCGATAGAGGTGTATAAGTGGAATGGGCAATAGGGCTCCAATGTTCTTACAAAGGGGTTTACATTCGTATCTAATAACAGCGTGAACCTTATAACCCTAATCTAACAAAGAGATGTTTATGGTTAGGTTTTGGTGAGGTTTAGGCTTTCAGCTTTATTAAAAAAAATAATTGGTTTAAGTTGTCCCGTTCGTGGTAGATCTATAACATTGGCCGCGCTTCTGTCTGTATCGGGTGTGTAGTGACAGGTGTTGATATACTGTGTAGTTTATCGCCGCTGCTGTTGTTGTTGTTGTTGTTGTGTGTATATCTCTCTGACCTAACTCTCGTATCCGCTGTGTATTGCTGGATGATTATCATACGTGTATATATTTTTGGCCCTTATTTGCTTTTTAGTATAAATATTCTATACATGTACACCTTGAGTACTTTATACACACACACACACACACAAAGCACTTATCTGATTCGTACACATACTTGCACCAAATCGGTCACGAATACCATGTTGTACGTAATTGGCTGACTGAATGTGACAAGCAACCTATAATATATATCCTGTACATACACAGCCAATGATGTGTTAGCTACGTCATATCCTTTACATCACCCAACCAATGCCGTGCGAGCTCTAAAATGCGGTTTACATCATAGATTAGATAACATTTAATACAACAATTTCCTTTTTCTTTGTGTAAATTGATTCTCATAGGTTAGGTTAAGTTATGTTAAAAGACTATTACACTTGGGACTCTATAACTAAGTGTCGTCATTTAGCACCAATTAAGAGATGTTTACACTGAAAATCTGTCTTAGATACGTTGATCCGGGACACCAATTCCATGATAAAATTAACGTGGCTTCGTATTCAACCATAACTTTAAACTTTCTTGTGTACCGTTTTATGGGAAGTGAATAGTGAAGGAATTATTGAGAATCTCGGAAGACTTTATATTATCTATGGTGCTAGTGAATGGTAGGGTGACGTACTGTGCAGGGTGCTAGTGAATGGTAGGGTGACGTACTGTGCAGGGTGCTAGTGAATGGTAGGGTGACGTACTGTGCAGGGTGCTAGTGAATGGTAGGGTGACGTACTGTGCAGGGTGCTAGTAAATGGTAGGGTGACGTACTGTGCAGGGTGCTAGTGAATGGTAGGGTGACATACTGTACATGGTGCTAGTGAATGGTAGGGTGACTATCTGGTGCTAGTGAATGGTAGGGTGATATACTGTATATGGTGCCAGTGAATGGTAGGGTGACTATATGGTGCTAGTGAATGGTAGGGTGACATACTGTACATGGTGCCAGTGAATGGTAGGGTGACTATATGGTGCTAGTGAATGGTAGGGTGACATACTGTACATGGTGCTAGTGAATGGTAGGGTGACGTACTGTACAGTCAGCAAAAAAGGTTACTACACCCCTTGATCTGGTGGAATAAAAAATGAACAATAACTTGAGACACGCTGATGTACCGGATAGGATGGTACCGTTCATTACCTGAGTCTGTAGAGAATCCTTCCTCGTACAATGTGGTGATAAGAGTTTGTCAAATAGTAACATATGTTTTGAAAGCCATTTAGCATTTATGTTCAATGTATTACTTTAGTGATGAATGAAAATGGATGTATTTGTGCAGCGCGGGACGAGGATTGTTGCCACTTCCTGTATGAGAGAAAACCATTAAAAGTGATGATTATAATATATGTTTTGTTAATATTTTGGTTGTACTTGAAGATATAGTAAAGTGTTAGTAAATCGTTCATCTGTTAACGACAACTAATGTTATTATGATATATTATTTTATTTGAGTGAAATATAAAGTAAAGACAGACGTATTCTCCCTCACTAAGAGGACGACCGTGAGGCAGTACTGGTGGTCTTGGGTCATGATACCAACATGAACTCCAGGTTTTATTTCAATATTGGAACATGACTTGGTAGTTGCGACCATATGACTCGTCCACAAGAAGCCACACAGGACGGAAGGCTGGAGCAGCAACCCTAAAGGACATGCGAGGCGGGTTATCATCCTTCACTGGTGGGACCAAGTCCACAGTTGTGAAGTGGATGAGGCACTATTAAGTAACTGGACCATAGAGGACGAGATCAGTTCTGTATAACGCTCACTAAACTGATACGTGTTAAGTGTTCACCTGATGACTCAGATCGTTACACACGGCAGGGGTAGAGAGACAGTAAGTGGTGGGTGACGTACTGTACACCTTACGTCGCATTAACCGAACCAGTCAACTTCAAGCCAGAACTTAATAACATCTCAACAATATTGTAACTGAATTTAACCTAACGTAACCTAACCTAACCCCAGATCACACCTAACACTACTGTACCGTGATTTAATCTAACCTAGGTTAATGTAACTAAAACCTTAATCAAATCTAACCATATTTTAAATAACTTATCCAAATTGGAACTTAACCTGATAGTAACTTAACCGAATCTAACCTACATTTAAATGAAAGCAACCGAATACGCGGTGTTATTATGACAATTTTAATCCGGTTCCAGGTCGCTGTCAAGGCTCAGCAACCTGGGAGACAGGACAGTTTTCTATGTCTCACACGATCACTGGGGAGGGGAGGGGGTAACTCCTCTGTTTCAGCAACTGCCTTGAACTCTTGTGTGTTTGACAAGTTTATTGATGTTACTGTTAAGTGTGGGTTAAGTTTACCCATGTTCCTCACACATGTTCACGTCCTCTTGAGGTTCTTCATGCACTTAATGTTTACTACCAGTTTTAATAGTACTTTGTAGTCATTGTTCTCCAATAACCTCTGTTGTTTTAATACTTGGTGTAAGATGGATACATATGTATATATTTTTTTATTTATATTTGCTCTCAGTATTATGATGTTGAATCCATGGCTTCAGTTCTTGCTTCAGCACCACTGTGTTTGATGTTATAAGCCAAATGTTAATGTAAGTGTAGCTAAACATTTGTCAAGTTCCACATTATCCAGCCGTTGTGTGATGAACTCTCCTTCAGCAACCCTACTGTAAGATACCTCTCCTCCGTCTTAGTATCTCAAGTGTCAGTATAAGTGATACATGTCAGATTTAACAGGATATCAACAAGGGAGGCATAATGTTTTAAATTTGTCTTAACTTATAAAGCGGAACAAAGATTCGAAGCTGCTTTGAAACACTCCACACAGGGATCACCGAGTTCCTGGCGTATTTGTGCTGATTTTTTTTTCTCCAGGCGCGTGAGCTGGCTCATGAAGCATTAATGTGTTGTACAATATCCATGAAGTGAGCCAGAAATAAATTAACTTCTCCAACTGTTCTCACCTTCATTTCGAAACGTAATTCCGGTGCGATTTACTTTTGTTGTGAATAAAAACCATTATAGTTTACAAAAAGAAATCATCAGCTTTGATCCCTTTCTCGGCTTCATACAGGTTCGTACCCTTAATTAACCCACTAACTGGAGGTATAACACACCTAACTGCTTCACTTACAATTGAAGCATTAAGAATTTTTCTCGTATCCTTATTTAAGGAAAACCATTAGATAATGATTTTTTTTATGAACCTGAACCTAAAGTCGATCTTATCCCGTCTGTGAACCTCGTCCGGGTACTCATACACTGTGCAGTAGTAGGTGTGGCTCAAGGGGTTCACTGCTGGGATTCATAACTAAAGTGTTGGGTGTTGTTGGCCGGACGTGCTGGCGGTACACACACACACACACATACACACACACACACACAATAATTACGAAGAAAAATACATTTTCGGAGTGTTATTTACTATCAGTTAGTTTAAACTACATAGTGTGGTAGAGAGACGGGGGCGCCATTCTCTGTCAAGGGGAACATAAACATGCTGGGAGCTGAGTGGCCCCGGACTGAGTTTAGCAAAGTTTGTCACTTGTCGAGCGAGGCACTGAATAATTCCTGCTCCTCCCCACCAACTCCTTCACGCCTCGAAATTAGGGAAAAAAAGTCTTTAAATATTTTGTTTGCCACTGTCTAGTTAGGCCAGTGTTTGCCTTACCAGATGTTATAATGGGCCCCAATACTAATAGGCATCCCTTCTAATGGGCCCTAGTCCTTATAGACACTAGTCCTAATGGGTCCCAGTCCTAATTAACATCATTTCTAATGGACTTCAATCCTAATGGATTCCAGTCCAAACTCCAAGGCAGGTTAGCTTGGCTATACCTTCCTCTGGAAGGGTAAGCCAGCAGGGGAGCG